ACCCTGGTCCCAGTATCAACCAAGGTGGTCCCCGGGTCCCATCCTCGTAGAGCTTATAAAGTCTACTACCATTTCACATTGGGTCCAGGAGAGGTTTCTAGAGGCATAGGGACTGACCCAAGCTTACAGGGCACGTGGTCGAGCCATGGCTGGAACCAAGATTTGCCTCCATGGCCTGTGAGGGCTCCTATGTACGGTTGTGCCCCACAGGCTTACTCACTGGAACTATTATTATTTCTTTTTGCTAAGATTTAATTCACATACCATAAAATTCACCACTTTAAAGTGTACAATTTAGTGGCTTTTAGTATATTCACAAGGTTGTGCAACCATCACCACTAATTCTAGAACATTTTATCACCCCCGTATCTCATAGCAGTCACTCCCCCTCCCTCTAATCTCTCTGTCTCCATGGATTTGCATATTCTGGACATTTCCTATCAACGGAGTCACAGAATATATGGCTTTTTGTGCCCAGCCTCTTTCACTTAGCGTAACGTTTTCAGGGTTCAACCATGTTGTTGGATGAATCAGTACTTCATTCCCTCTTATGTCCAAATAACTTTCCAATGTATGGATGTACCACACTTCGGCCACTCGTCAGCTGACGGACATTTGGGTCGCTTCCACTTTGGGCTTTTGTGACTAGTGCTGCTATGAACATTCCTGTGCACATTTTGGTGCAAATACACACTTCCAGTTCGCCTGAAAGCTCCATCCTCCAGGAGTGGAATCGCTGGGTTATAACTTTTTGATGAACTGCCAGATGGTTTTCCAAAGCTGCTGCACCATTTTCACGCTATATATTCTGAATAAATAATAAATTTATGTGACTTAAAATCAAAATGATAGGAAAATGAATACACTGACACATCTCACTTCCACCCAGCCCCGTCTCATTTTGGAGGCTCCTTGCCCTCTGCAGGTAACCACTTTTGTTAGTTTCTTACACATTTCCTAAATTCCTTGATTCATAAATAGGCAAACACAAAGATTTTTATGTGTCTATGTACAAAAGGCATCATGCCTGCACATCGTTCCCTGCTTTTCCATTCAACTGCTTATTTTAAAGGAAGAATAGTCTAGTGATAATAAGCCCAGGCTCTGGAGCATCAGACAGCCTGGCTTCAAATCCCAGCCCAGACACTTCTAGCTGTGTGACCTGGGGGCAAGCTTCACTCTTCCCCTCTGTAAAATGGAAATAACCAGAATGTCTACCTCATGGAGCTGACCTGAGAGTCAGAAGAGTGAATGTATGCGTGTCAGGCAGGACCCCAGAGGAAACCGAATTCCAAGCAAAGGACTTTAACTAAAAGAAACGTAGTAAAACGCACTCTCTTATAGAGTGTGGGCGAGATTAGGGGAAGTCACAAGGAATACTGAGGAAGCCCGGAACCCATAACAGTGTGAAGCTGTTAGGGCCCCTGTGCTATAGCTGAGGAAGAGGGGCCACCCTAGAGATGTCACCACCCACAGAGCAGACAGGATGGGTTAGGGAGGGGGCTGAGGGGTGAAATACCCTAGGCTCGCTCTCCTCCCACCTTCTGATCTCCTGCCCATTACCCCACGGGTGATACAGGACATAAATGTCAGCTTCCTGGGTAGGGGGCGGAGCAGGTCAGAGAACAGATCTGGGGGCCAATGGAGAATAACTAGCCTAGTACATGAAGTCCTTACGGTAGCCCTTGGCCTGCAGCAGCTGGGAAAGCATTTGCCACTCATCTTACCTGTCCATATCAGTGCCCAAGAGTGTCCTCCTCCCTTTCCGCGGCTGCCGGGCCCTCCACTCTCCATTGTGTGCCATCACTCATTTCCGCCAGTCTCCACTTACAGACAGCTGGGTTATTACTACTCGTGTTCTGTAGACAATGCTGCGGTGAATGACCTTAAGTAAATGTCATCTTGTGCACGTGATGTGGCCCTCTGCTGTGAGACTGCCATTGTGCCAGGGGCTTTATGACACCCTCATCTTACTCCATCCTCAACAGTGCTGTTAGGTGAACTTGAATTATTACAGGAGAGGAAAAAGACTCAGAGAAGGGCTAACCCTTGCACCTGGCGCAGGTAGAATGGAGATACTTTTTGACAGTGGAGTCCTTGCCCTTAGGCACCCCACCTCCCAAGGGCAGGAACCCTTAGTCCCTGGGGCCTGACCCTTAGTCACTGGGTGCCAGAGGCTGAACAGAACATCTCCCTTCAGCTACAGCCGCTGTCTGGAGCTGATGCTGAGCCATGTGTCCCACCGTGGTCCCATGTGCCAGCTCATGGTGGCTTCCCACAATGAGGAATCTGTTCGCCAGGCAACCAAGCGGTATGTAAGGGAATGGAAATAGGTCCCCCAAGAGGGCCCCCTTCCTTCCTCTCCCTTACTCACATGCCAGGGTGGACAGAGGGGTGGTGGAGGCAGACTGGGGGAGGAACGGTGAGCGGCTAGTAGGCCCACAGGGATTCTGGGGAGGCTATTCAGACTAAACAAGACATTGTTCCTTATTTGCTGGGGCACTGGGAGGTCCGAGGGTTTCCAGGAAAGGAGCTGGGACTCACTGGAGAGCCTTCCAGGGGCTTGAGGGCAATGGTTATCTATCATTGAGTTTGGAAGTACTTCAATATTTTAATAACTGGGACAGCCACAGGAATGCATAATGACTGAGTATCAGCTCTGGATCCAGCCACTGTCTGGATTGACGATGTGGCCTTTTGTTGTAGCATGTGGGAGCTGGGCATTCCTCTGGATGGGCCTGTCTGTTTTGGACAACTTCTAGGGATGTGTGACCATGTCTCCTTGGCACTGGGTATGTGAATGGCCCATTCTCCCGTACCCCCACACCATGCCCCACCCAGCCCTAGCCCTCACTCCCTCCCAGCCAGATCCCTTCTCCCATTCCCAGCCAAGGCCTGGCCAGGCTCCCATCCAGAGCCTGCAGCCGGCCCAGCCACCAGACCCTTCCGGACACATCTGTTGTTCCCATTACCCACAGGCCTTGCATGCCTATCTCTGAGCCAGCTGTCTGTTGGTTTTGCTGGTTCTTGATCACAATGTCTTGTTTCCTGTGTGCTTTGTCTTCCCTGTGTTGCTGCCCTGGGTCTGAGACCAGAAGATTTATGTTTTCTTCTGCAGGCACCAAGGGGTACAAAACCACTTTACCCTAAGTTCAGAGCTTGAGGTTTCTTGAAGCATCTCAGTGATGCAAATTTGAGCTACAGATATGTGAAAGGTCTAATCCATGGCCTCAGTCTCTCAGAGATGGGTTTCTGTTTTCTGCTGTGCTCCACTTACAGTCCAGGCCATCATTCCCTGTGAGTGGGGGGAAGGCGGGAGGTTGACTCCGGTTAGCTCTTATTCTGAGGGTGCAGCTTAATTTGAGGAAGTTCCCCCTTACCACTCTCACCCTGGGTCAGGCTCTGGGCCTCGATCTCTGCATCCCCTGGACTCGGCAAAGTCATCAAATAGCAGCTCACTTTTGCCTTCAGGGTGGAAGGGCTTCCTGTGCATCCCTCCCTTCCGGCTCTCGCTTTCTCTTAATTTTGGATTAGTAAGTTCCTTACTCTTTTGACAGTATTTTAATAACTTTAAGAAGATTTTCTAAATGGTTACTGCAGGATTTCTAGGTTTTTCAGTGGGAAGTTCTGTCCAACTCACCTAGTCTGCCATGTTCTCTGAAATGAAAGTTTCTGTTCCAGATGGGGTCTCACCCCAAACAGGCGCTCATACCTTGCCAACACTCTCCCCACAGGACAGGCCGGCTATGCCGTGTATAAGTCCATCCCTTATGGTTCCCTGGAGGAGGTGATCCCCTACCTGATCCGGAGGGCCCAGGAGAACCGGAGTGTGCTGCAGGGTGCCCGCAGGGAACAGAAGCTGCTCAGCCAAGAACTTCGCCGGAGGCTGCTGGGGCGGGGCCTGAGGGTTCCCCATTAGCACGCCCAGGGGTCCTGTGGTTAATAAAGATCCTGAGCTATTGCCCAGGCTGCTGCCCTGCACTGAAGCTGCCTCCTTGGGGAAGGACTAACCTTGACCTCAGTCAGCCCATGCCAGGGAGACCTTTAGCTGATCCTGGAGCACAGCAAAGGCATTGATCAAAGGCTAATGATGCCTCCCCCTAACCCTGAGGCAGCCTATCCTGCCATGGGCCTGGGATCGGCTCTACTCAGCCAGTCAGTGCCTGATGTGGGAAGTTTCTTCACTCCGGTGGATGGCCAGATAAAGAGCAGACTTTGAGGCACTGCATCAAGAGGCTGGGAGGGACAGAGGGAAGAGGCAAACCACTCATTCACTTCATAAGCATTTACTGCGGCTCCTTCTGAGCTATGCCCTGAGGTGAACAGGCTGAGGACACAACAGTGCAGAAGATAACCCTGCAGCCCCTGCCTCACAGAGCCTAGTCAGTAGTTAGTGGTAGACACACCTGTCTTCAGACAATGACAGCCTGGTGATCAAGAGGACACCTGGTGATCAGGAGGACTTCCCAGAGAATTCAGAAGACTAACCAAGTGAATGCTAAGAGCATTCAAAAGCAAGGGCATATGCATAGACAGAAAAGTGTGGAACGGACTGGGGAGTGGGGAGACCGGGATGGAGTGGTAGGCACGCCAGATGATGCCATCTTTGATGCCAGACTTCGGGCCTTGGACTCTGTCCCAGGGGCGTCAGGATGCCCTGGGGGAGTCAGGACAGTTTCAAGTAAGGGAATGGCAGAGTCAGGACTGGCTTAATAAGATTCCCCTGGTGCCATGGAGAGGGTGGACCACAGTGAGGACACAGGCTACGAGCCGCAGGGAAGCTGGGGTAAGAGGTCCCTGCAGGCAGCTGGAGCATGGCAGGGCTGTGACAAACTGCGAGGGGGCTGGCTGGTGGGAAGGACACTCAGGGGGTTGAGTGGGTGGGGCCTCGGCGGATAGGTTGGATGGGAAGGAGACACTGTAGGGCAAGGCCCAGGGGTCTGGCTTGAAGGGGGGGTGGAGGGGCTGAGATGGGGACTGGGGAAGAAATGCAGTTTTGGGGAGACACTGCGGCAAGTGTGGGACCCAGTGGATGTGAGGGTCCCAGGGGATTTTCAGGGGGCGGTGTCCAGGTTTGGCACAAAGAGGCTGGGGCAGGGAAAGGGAGGAAACAGCCCATGGGGATGGTAAGAAGCGTAGGAAGAAGCCAGCCAAGGACAGGGATGGGGAAGAGCCCACCTCCTCAAACAAGTTCTGGAGCAGGCGTAATCATGGAGTAACGTTAAGCACAGCCCACAGCTGTGGGGTGAACATTGTTTTTTCTTTTCTCGAGTGACGTGGGCTGGAGAAGGACCTCTCCGGGGTGGGAGGCTACTGCGCAAGCGCAAACGTGGCTCGAAGGGGCACTGATGCGCGTGCGCCGCTGCTTCCCGCCCAGCCGCCAGAGCTAGTGTGCATGGGTCACGTGGCAGTCACATAGTCATCCCTGTGGGAGCCCAACGGTAGGTGCCAACCCACTCCTGGGCTGGGGCCTAGGCCCCGAAACCTTCCTAGAGCTTACTGGGCCCCCACTCTCCACCAGACCCCGCCCCCAGGCCGCCCACTCCCTCCTTCCCAGGCCTTTTTCAGACTCTGGCTCCCAGCCCACAGGCACAGGCCTCAGGTCCCCTCCTTCCTCAGTCCCTTCCCCTAGCCCGGAGGCCCCACCCCAGCACCCAGAGGCTTCCTAGAACCTCAGTCCATGCCCCCAGCCCTCAGACCCTCTCCTAGCCCGCAGACCCTGCCCTCCCTCCAACCCCCTCCCATAGCCTGGAGGTCCTGCCCCTTCTCAGGTCCCAATCCTCAGGCCCCTCTTCCTCCAGACCCTTTTCCTAAACCCCTGGACTCTTTTCCTAGGCCCAGAAGATATCCCTGGAGTCCTTACACCTCCCTGAGATGTAAGTGGCGCTCAGACTCCCTTGGGCCCCAGACCCCGAGCCCACCCCTTTCTCACTGCCCGCCAGGCCTGCCAGCCGGCTGTTTTTATTGCCCCCAGAAGTCCCATCTTCACTTTCTCCTGCCTTCATGAGACCCCTAGGTGACCCCTGCCCAGGAGCTGATTGAGTCCGGAGCTCACAGATGCCCTCCCTGCGCTCTCCATTCCCCGTGGAGCGGGCCTCTGTTAGGGATCCAGAAGCCCAGGTGGGACAGCTGCATCGCCTGGCTGTGGCTGGGGGCCCCTGCCGGGGCCTCACCCGGCTCCTGCGCAGAGGTGAGGGTCTGGCTCTGGGTCATTTCAAGTGGCATCTATTATGGGAATTTAAGAGAATGGTGAGGATGAAGTAGATACATTGAAAAGGATGGCTTTTTGGATGGGGTGATACTTCTCCCACAGTATAAAAGTCGGTCATGCAAAAGCCTGGGGGAAGGGCACTTCAGAAGGGTGGAATAGCCACTGCAAAGGCCTAAAAAGTCCAACCAGACTGGGTATGTGTAAGTAGCCTTGGAGCAAGGGGACTCAGGGAGAGGGCTGAAGCTATGAGGCAGCAGGTGCAGACAGGAAGGGGCCTCAAAAGTAGTGTGTGAATTTTGTTAGATTTTGTTCTTTGTGTGAACACTGTTCTTTGTGAGATCACTGGAGTTGTAGGCAGGCAATGAGCATCTAATTTACAATTTCCACTTTTTTCATTAGTTTTTATAAGTTGATTGTGTATCTGGCTACTACTTTCTGAACTTAATTGTTGTAATTTTTGGCTCTTTTTACATTCTTTTGTTACCTGGAGACGGTGACAGTTTGGTCCAGCCCTTTAAACTTGAATTCTGTTTTTTGTCATGTGAGGTGTTGGCCAGAATCCCCAAACTTTGTTGTGGGTGGATATCTTTCCTTCTTGATATTAAAGGGAATTAATCTGTATTTCTGCATTAAGTATTGTGCTTGCTCTTGGGTTTTGGTTTATAATTTTTATAAAGTGAGGAAGTTCCCATCTATTCATAGTTTTTGAGATATTCCCCTCACCCCCAGTCATAAGTAGGTATTGAATTTTATCAGGTGCTTTTTCTGTACCTACTGAGTCAAATGTGATTTCTGTTCTTTAATCCATGAATGTCTTTTCCTACATTGATTTTGTTATTTTGAATCATCCTTGATTTTGGGGACTAAATCTATTGGATAATCTCTTTTCCTTTATTTAGGGGGTTTGCATATATAATCAAAAATGGAATTGCAATCTACTTTCATTTTTGGCTCTGGAAGTTCATCTGGTCTTGGAATTCAGGTCTTCCTAGTTTCATAAAAGGAGGCTTGCCCTCATTTTCTCTTATTTTGTTTTTGGATCAACTTGTGTAAGATTACCTGTACGTGAAATGAAATGATTACCGATGATCATCTATATCATTGGTTTGTGAACATCCTTTAAGAAGATCCTTCTGGGACCGAGACAAATGCAGAAACCCAGTTAGGATGCCATTGTGGATACAGTAAATGTGATACTCAGAGGTTCCTAAAGGACCACATTTGGAGGGATTTTGTGACAGAGGCCAAGCTGGTTTGGACCAAGTGCATGAATGTGCTCGCTTCGGCAGCACATATACTAAAATTGGACCAAGTGCGTGACTGATTTTAGTCAGATCTGCCAAGGACATAGGAGTGCAGGGGCAAAGACAGCGCATTTGCCCTCAGTAGGGATAGGGGCTAGGGCCTAGAGGAAGAAGGGTGAGTCCAGGGTAGCTGGGAGTGGTGGGTGAGTGGGCTTCAGGTGAGGTAGTTCCCTGTAGGCAGGAAGCCACAGCAAGGATAATGGGTGTGGAGAGGAGGGGTCCGCAGGGGGAGCTGAGCAGGATGATGGGGGGAAGGGATTGGCCTAGGTGGGGAGGTGCAGAGGAGGCTGCTGCTCGGATTCAGTTCTTAGAAGCAGTATTCAAAAATAAACCTGAGAGATTTCCTGATAAAATCCAAAGAGTCTGCTTTTCTTGAAGAATTGGATGCTGGCCACATGGGACGCGTATGCATACACTGAATTAGAGCTGGGTAGAGGCTGCCTGCCCTGCACCGTGCACAAGGCTCCTGTGAGCCGGACTCCCTGCGAAGTCCACTTCCCCTGGCCCCTGGGCACCTTGGTGTGATTTTGCCACTTCTGGGATGGCCGATGGGTGTCAGCAGGGCAGGTAGATGTCACTCCTTGTGGCAACTCTGTGGACTTACTAATAGTGAGCACTGTGTTGAGGCGGACTCTGAGGCAGAGTCCCCAGTGACTGGAGGGTGGGGGTTCCAGGACAGACAGATGGAACCTGGAGTCGAGGGTCACCCGATCAAGGAGGGACTGTGGGGACTGGGAAGTGGCAAAGGTGTTGCAGAGCAGCCCTCAGGACCTCTGCCTCTGGAGTAGAGGCCAGGGACGGTCCTAAGTCTCGCTGCCCCTCAGTTGTCCAGGTGGATGGTGAGAACTCTGCTGGGCAGACGGGGCTCTTCCTTTCGGCGCTGCTGGGCCACAGCTCTGCCGTGCAGCTCCTGCTCACCTTTGGCGCCAACCCCAACCAGTGAGTGGACGGACGGCGGTGCCCCCACGCCCCCAGGTCTCTGAGTCAGAGTCCCAGAGAGCCTGAGAACCAGGGCTTTCTTCTCTCTCCCTCAGGACCCTCCCACCCCCTGAGATCTCCCCCTTGTTCTCTGCATTAACCCCTTCTTGTCCTCCAGTGACTATCCCCACTCTCCCGGTACCTCCCATGCTCACAGTGGTGCTCTCACCTCTCGAAGACTCCACCGTGTCCCCAAGTGACCCCTCCTGTTCTGATATCCACTTGCCATGTTCCTTTCATCCCTCAGTGCTCCCATCCTGCCACCTCTCGACCCTCTTCTGCCCTTTTCCTGATCCGTTTCTTTCCTCATCATTCTGCAGCCGCTGCCTCGACGGCAGCACGCCTGTGCACGCAGGCGCCTTCTCCGGCCGCAGCCCGGTGATGCTGCACCTGCTGCAGGCGGGGGGTGACCTGCGTCTACGTGACCAGCGGGGTCGCACGCCTCGGGACTGGGCAGAGCAGAGTGATGCCAGGCAGAGACGGGAGGTGAGCGGTGGCCCAGGTGGGGTGGGGGCATATAGAGCCAGCACCCGCACCTGCTTCAGCGCACCCGCCCCCCCGCCCCCCCCCGCCAGGTGCTGGAGCTGCTGGAGCTGTGCCGAGCCCGCATGGCAGCGCTGGTCCTGGGTGGTGAGTGGGCAGCCAGTGCGTCCCTGGGCCGGCCACAGGCCAGCTCCGCACACCGCCTGTGTGGCTCCCTGTCGTTGCTGCGGCGGCTGCGTGCAGGCAGGTAACTATCCACACATGAAACCTATTCACCCACCACGCCCCAGCTACCCTGGACTCACCCCTGCACTTCCCTTTGCCCCCAGGGCACCGAGGCAGGAGCAGATCAGAAGACCCCCCCAAATCCCAGCCTTGGGGTTTGGCCAGGTAAGCGGGAGAGGTGGGGGGAGCAGGGGCCACCACTGTCCATTTCTCGCCTCATAGTCCCACTCCCCATCCCCAGCTGAGCAGCCTGTGGCCACTGGGGCTGGTAACAGGCATACCCCTCGCGGATCCCAAGGAGCTGCTGCCAGCCCAGGGCGAGCCCGACCGCACCTACGAGAGCAGCTCCCACACCCTCATGGCCAAGTGAGAGCTAGCCCCCACCCCCACCCGTGCGTCACTGTCCAGCAGAGCTCTGGGAAGTGTCCAGCTTTCCTCCTTCCCTCACAGGGAAAGCCCCCTTGTCTCAGACCTGCCCTCTTACCCGCTCCGCATTCTCTAGCCTCCTGTGGAGGGGCCACCCTGTGACAGCTCGGCAGCTGAAGGTACCTGGAACTCAGCCTGATGTGCTGTTGGCCGACCTTCAGCACTGCAGGTAGCCCCCCCACCCCCAGCCCTGCCCTCAGGCTAGCCCTGTCCCCTGCCTGCCCCTCCTACTCAAGTGTTTCACAAACAGGAGGCCAGGGAGTGTATGGCAGCTGCCACCATTACAGTCTTCACCTCCGGGCCAGCACCTGGCACACAGCCCTCCTGCTGGAGTGACTCCCCCCACCCCCGACCGTGAAGTGGCTCCCCGTTCTGTGTGCTGTGCGTTACAGGCCTCAGGGAGGTGGCTGGGTGTAGGCAGGGAACCACAGGTGGGGTGTGAACTGGGTGCTGGCCCTGCGAGCCACGTCTCAGTTTCTTCTCTGTCTGGCGGCTGGCGCAGATTGTCAACCCCTGGCACGTGGTGAGCTGTGCCCGGGAGCAGCCCCGGCCGTGCAGGTTGGGGCCTCCTTGTGAGTGGCCTGCTCTCCTCCCGCCCAGCACCCTGCACCACCCCAACGTGTTGCTGCTGATGGCGCTGAGCCCCTCGGCGGACCTGTCAGGGCTGTGCCTTCTCTTCGAACCTGTGTGGCTGGGCTCCCTGCATATGGTGCTTCACCCGCAGGGACTGAGTCACGGAGGGCCCCGCACTGTGCCGGGCCTGCCGCCCGGCCACCTGCTGCTGCAGGTGCTGGAGGCCCTGCTGTTCCTGCAGGCCCGCTGGCGCGCTCACGGCGGCCTGAGTTCTCACGCTGTGCAGCTGGTACGGCCAGGCCTGGCCAAGGTGGGCAGTCTGGAGCATGGGCGCCCACTGCGCCAACACCAGCTGCGGCCCGGGTGAGTGCCTGCCTCACCTGCCCGCCTCTGTGTCCCTGTCCAGTGGCCCCTGGTTCACCAGGCCCGTTGGTCTCCACAGGCCACAGCAGGGCTCCCCCTGGGGAGGCCCAGGCCCGGGGCTGCCCCCACCTCCTGAACTGTACCCGTGGCTGCCACTTGAGCTCATCTGTGGGGACGGGCCTGCGGCCACCTCAGATCTCTACAGCTTCTGCATTCTGGCCCAGGAGGTCTTCACTGGTCAGTGAGTGATCCTACACCCTGCCCCGCTAAGGCACCTCTCTTGTTCGGGTCCCCCAGTCATGCTTCCTCACAGGAGAGCTGCCCTGGGCTGGGCGAAAGGGGCCTGAGGTGAAAGCTAAGCTGGAGGCAGGTGAGAGCCCAGCCCTGGATCCCCTGGTACCGACTCCCTATCAGGCCCTGGTTCAGGCCGGGCTGGGCCTAGGGCCTGCTGACCGCCGGGGCAGCCTGCAGAGTACTCGCTACCTGCTGCGGGAGGCCATGGCCCAGGTACAGGACAGGTTGGCAGGGTGGGCGGTAGCTGTTGGAACCTTAGGCTGGACCCACGTCCCACACTCAGCCTCCTTTCCACAGGACTCGGCTCCTGCGGTGAGCTCCCGGAAGCATTGGACCACACTGCACCCTTCTGCCCAGGGTTCCCCACCCGGTGAGATGGCAGGGAGGGGGTGGGGGCAGGGGGTGAGCTCAGCTCTGCTCTCCCCCTTCCAACCAGCCGGTCTGTCCCCCCAGAGACACTGTACTGTGAGGTGGCTCCCAGAGCCAAGACTACATGCAGGCCTGTGCCCCCCGTGATGCCCCCAGGACCCTCCCCATGCCAGGTAGGAGCCAGAGCAGGGGCATGGAGGCCCACGGGAGCTGTGGGGCACCTGGGCAGGCCCCGCCAGCTCGCTGCCATTGCTGTCCGCAGGCCCTGGAGACTCCTGAGATCACAGGCCACAGCAGAGTCCAGAGGACCACAGCCTGGGACTCAGGCAGCAGCTTGACACTAGGCAGTCTGAGTCCCAGCCCCGGCCCCTCCCCAGGCTCCAGCCCCGCAGCCAGGGTCAGCCTGCGCCGCTGCCTGGAGCCCGGCTCAACAGTACGGACACCCCCAGAGTCCTCTGCAACCATCCATTTGTTAATTTGTTACCCCTCACCCCAGTTGTCACCAGCCCCAGTTCCCCTGGCTGCCTCTCCTTTGACCACGGACTCACAGGACCGCCCAACTGTCCTCTCACTCGCCTCCCCCCCCCCCCCCCCCCCCCCCCCCCCCCCCCCCCCCCCCCCCCCCCCCCCCCCCCCCCCCCCCGCCCAACCCTACTTCCCCCAGGGCCCTGCCCTGCTCCAGCCTTCAGGACTCAGAGTCCCTTCTGAGGACACAGGGCTCTGTGGAGCAGTTTGAGAGGAGGCCCTCAGCCACGATGCAAGCCCTGCAGGGGCTGTGGTGTCATACACACAGGGCTGCCCCGCTGGGCCCCCCCACTCTCTGAGCCCACCCCCTGCCTACTGACCCACAGGGAGGCCTCCCACACCCTGGAGGCTGCTGGCAGGGAAGGCCAGGAGGGCCGGTGAAGCAGAGGACCCTAGCCTATTCCCTGCCCATGTCACCCTCCTAGGCCCCTCCTGAGCTCCATGGCCCCTGGGTGGCAGCTCCAGCCTTTTCCCCTGCAGGTGCCCCGTCCTGAGCTGATCAAAGGAGGGCTCTTCTCCAGCCTGCAGAAGTGAGAAATGGGCCCTGCTGGGGGCCCCTGGGACCCCTTCCTCATCCCCGGGGCAACCCTGGCTCCACCCCTGTCCCACTGCTCCCCAGGACGGACCTGCTGGAGGAAGTCCTAGCAGAGCTGCAAGGTGGACGCCGACTCAGAGGCGATCCCAGCCTCGACCCCACGCCTGACACAGACTCTTAGGGTGCCCGTGACTGCCTCCCTGCAGCTGTCACCGCCCAGAGCCTCTCAGGAATGACTCCCCACTCAGCACGTGCTGAAATGATAAAGTGATAAAGCAGCCTATCTGTCTCTGCCTCTTTGTTCACTGTGTCTGGCCCCAGTATGACGCGAGCAGCCACGTTTTCACTGTTTTTATTAATTTTGTCAGATGGTTTAGTGGGGTGTGCGGGGGGAGATGGGCAGGAGCTGTTCTCCAACCCCCTGTGCACAGGTCAGAACAAGCTGGGGGCTCCTGGAGGGAGAGGGAAGACAGCTGTCAGCCTAGCCCTCAGATTTGTGCGAGAGCCCCCAGGATGGAAGGATGGTGGGTGGGGGGGATGGGTGTGCCCTTCGGCCCAGGGTAGGGAAGCTATATCAGGTTAGGGACCCACATCAGAAACAAGTTACAAAGTTAGAAACCTAGGGTAGGGGTCAGGAGCTCAAGAAAATACAAAACAAGGGATTGGACTGGGCCAAGATTAGTGAGGGGAAGGGAAAGGAGGAAGGTCTCTCCCAGCTGTGGCTCAGCAGTAGCTTCGGGTCTGACCCTCAGAGTGGAGGGACCAGCTGGGAGTGGGGTAGGGGGGTGGGGGACCAGCCCCCTCCCGTCCTTGCCCCCCATTCCTGTACAAGGATCCTCGGTGGTGTTCACCCCCCCTCCCATAGGCTGGTGGGGCTGCCCTATACATCAGGAGAGGCTCTGGAGGGCCCCAGGGCCCAGGCACCCTGTGAGGGGTGTGGGGGCCCCAGGGGGCCCGCTGTTTCTGGGGGAGGCGGGGGGCTGGGGGACCAGGATCTGAACGGCTACGGGGGTGGGCAGGAGGGGAGGAGGAGCTGGAAGAGGCGGGTGAGGGACCCCTCGGCCCCAGAGCTAGGTTGACATAGAGGGGCTCAGGCCGGGTAGGGCGGCGGGCAGTATGCTGGGGGGCTGAGTAGCCAAGGTGGTCATGGGGAAAGCATGAGGGGGGTGGTGGGTAGCTGAGCAGGAAGTCAGGGGACCTGTGGAGTGGTGGCGACTGGCCAAGCAGGCCATATGAGGCATTGAGCCTGTCTGGGGGCATAGAGCGAAAGGGACTCCAGGACCGAGTGGGGCCAGAGTAGGGGGAACCCTCACCCGTCTCGATTTCATAGTACAGGTTCTCTCCCCTGTCAAGTGGTGCAGGGGGACCTAGGGGGCTCCTCCAGACCGGGGCTGGGGAGCTGGGCTGGTAGGAGGGGGAGCCCAGGGAGTACAAGCCTGGTTTGGGGACCCCAAGGAAGGGTGGCAGGCACTCCCGGGGGGCTGAAGAGAAGAAGCCGGGAGTAGGAACCTGTGTGGGGACAGAATACCGGAACTGAGCTGCTGTCTCTGGCTCATCCCCACACTCCCTGCACCCCCCACCGGTCCTGAGCTGGGCACTGACCTGCGAAGGGCCTCGGAGTCCCCTCCTTGAGGTCCCTGGGGGCCGCTGGCTCCTCACCAGGCTCCCGTCACTTTGTTGCCTCGGTAGGGAAGGTGGGGGTCCAGGAGCCCAGGCACCGGAGTGGGCTAGGGAGTTGGGGGCTGGCCCAGCCCCTGAGGTCCCTGGGGGCTCACTGCCCACCTCCAGTGACAGTGAGCGGTGAAAAGGGGAGTGGGGAGCAGAAGGGGTGCTCCCATGCTCCTGTTGGCTCTGTCTCTGGGCCACCTGCTGAGCCCGCTCAGCCAGGGCCAGGGCCATGAGGCGTGCTGGGTTCTTGGGGGGTGGGGGCGGGGCCCCCCCAGGGCGCAGGAGGGACAGGGGTGGGGGCAGCAGCGGTGAATCTGTACCAGGACCTACACAGAGAGGAATGGGAAGAGGAGTCAGCCAGGTCTTGGGTGCAGCTTCCGGGTCTATGAGGGTGTGGGGTAGGCTGAGCAGGACTCACCGTGCTGGTCTTGCGGCCCCCGGGGACCAGGCAGTGACAGCTTGCTGCAGATCTCCTGTTGGCAGGTGTCACTCAGCTGGGCCTCGGCCCCACGCAGCAGCAAGGGGATGAGATGGGGCCGCAGGCCCGGGCTGGGGCTGAGGGCTGGCGTTGGGGTGACTGAGGCAGGTGTTCCCCCAGCCCCCAGCAGTTCCAGGACAGCAGGTGGCACTGACACAGCTAAGGGCTCTGAGATGTCCAGGGCGGTGGGCGAGGCAGGGCTGGTGGTCCCACGGGGGGAGAGGGCCTGGGGGGTGGCCCTGGGTGGGAAGGCAGAGGCAGGGGCTGGGGGTGCCGGGCTGGCGGGAGGCGCAGGGTCTCCTGGTGTGGGGCTGCTGCAGCGAAAGGTCAGGGGATCAAAGTCGAGCCCCCGGAGCCCCTCCAGGCAGCGGGGTGGGCTGAAGTCCAGCTCGTCACCGTCATCTAGCCAGGCTGAGGTTCGGTGTGAGGGGGAACCGGAGAGTGCCCCCAGCCCAGCTGCTGAGGATCCAGATGATGAGGACTCAGAAGAGGAGGAGGATTCCGAGGAGGAGGAGGACGAGGACAGGCTCTCGCAGGAGCCAGCAGGTGCCGGGCCCACAGGGAAAGCATCACTGCTGGAGTGGGGTCGCCGTAGCCTATGCAGCCTCTGGAGGCCTGGGGGGGAGAGGGGGGGCAGTTAGGTGTCAAGGGCCAGAACTTTAGGTACCCATAACATCAGTGAGAATAGGGCACACAGCCCAGTAGGTTGGCGAAGGAACGCGAAGAGGCCCTTCCCTGAAAAGGGTCACAATGGCTGCGAATCCAGAGGGAGCTGTTCGGACTCATGGTGATAAAGGAAACAAAAGGCAAGGCCATGAAGAGAACACCATTCCAGGCCCAACGGCAAGAACGAACTCTGACAACCACATAGCTTGGGAGCATGAGACCAATGGGATCTCATGGGTAGCTGGTGAGATTTGGACAACAAATGGGCCTTCTCAGGTACAGTTGGACATGAGCAAACCCTACAGCAAGGCACCTCCACTCCGGGGTACATGCAGCGCCCTCACAAGGGTGTGGGGGCATAGCAGAGACTGCTCACCAGAGCCCCTCAACCTATTGGGAATGGGACATCCACACCCAGATACCAGCTGAGAGGAATGAGTGTGGGCTACATATGGGCGGCAGTGAGTGAAGTCAAGTTCCTCATCCAGGTATCTTAGGATACCTTTAAAGTTCCCAAACCACTAGGACTGTGCTGTATGTTATTTATGCAGACGCCTACAGCTGATGAGACCTTAGAGCAAGGGGGCGCTGACCACCATCAAGTCTTAAGGGTGCCTCCTGTGGGCAGGCAGCGGATGGGAGGGGAGAAACCTGCAGGTGAGGTCATGGGCTGTTTTAGTTCTGGCCTGTGGGTTCATGGGTGCTCATTTTAGTATCTAGATTTGTTTTCAAAAGGAGTAAATAGAAGACTGTTTGAAAGGACCCTGCCTAGACCAATGATCACAGTATATCTTGAACCATGGGTGATGCTTTATCCAACTCATTGTACCTAGTGTCCAGACTAAGGGAAAAAAAAAAGCAACCCCCCCAAATTTGAAGCCCATTTAGAGGCCACCTCAGGCCCCCTGGCCCTCTCAGCTCCACCTGAGCACAGGCATGAGCCACCCTGTGCTCACCAGCCCCGCTGGCCTGCGATGACAGAGACTCCTCGCTTTTGGCAGATCTCAGTGTGACTGTGTCAGGTCGGCCACCTGCTAGGAGAGGTACAATGGTCACAGGGCACTTCAGAGTGCCTCCCCCTACCACCACCTCCCACTGCCGGCCTCTGACCTGAAGGCTGCGGTGGGGCACGGGTGCCCCCCAGCCAGGGTAGAGGCTTCTTCCGGGGGATGCTGGGGCCCCGGCCCAGGGCAAAGAAGGTCTTCCAGCTGCTCCCCCCTGGCTTTCGCGGTTTCTCGCCTCTCTCCCCTTTCCTCCTGGAATTTGCATGAAACACAGGAGGCAGTTTGAGGATCTGGGGGCCTCCAGGCTGACCCTGTGCTCCCCCCGCATTCCACTCACCTCTCCACAGGTGAAGCTGGGGCCTTGGGAGTTATGGGCTCCGTGGGTGTCCCCAGCCGGCCCTGGGTGCGAGCCTGGGCTTCCTCCAGTGTCAGTAGGCGAGTGGAGGGGCCACTGCCCGCAAGTGACTTGGGCCTGGGGAGGAGGCAGCGGCCTAGGGAATTGGGAAAGGAGGCAGCTGTCAGCTCAGGGTGCCATTCAAGGCCACAGGCAAAGCCAAGCGCTACAGCCCAAGCCCCGGCCCCGCAGCATGCCCACCCGGGCTGGCAAGGCAGGGGGCCAGGACGGATCAGGCGGGAATGGGTGGGCAGCAGGCAGATGAGGAGGAGGAGTGAGGCAGAACGAGCTGATGAGGAGGCAGCTCCCGGCAGCCAGCGAGGGCAGCGGCTCTGGCTTCAGTTACCTCGGGCCAGTGGGCCCTCCGACGTGCTGAATCCTGATTGGGCTGGGGTCCGGGGTTGGGCGGGGAGTCTGGGTGGGGCCGGGGCGGGGTCAAGTCTGGGGACCTCCCACCTCCTCCCAGGTGGACCCATGGCCCCAAGAGCCCCCAGGAGCTACAAGGGGTGAAGGAAGAACGATGTCCGGGCCAAGAAGTGGGGATCCTGAGCGTAGGAGCTGAAATGAGAAGGGGGGGGAGGGGAGGGAGAGCCGGGGCGGGGTCCTCAAGGAGCCAGGAGGGAGGTCCAGCTTCAGTGGGGTAGGGATAGGGCTGGGAGCCCACCTGCCCTCCCACTGCAGCCCTAACAATGAGGGGGCAGTAGCCAGGACATCAGGGGGTGGGATGGGCATACCTGCAGGGTCGAGGCCAGCAGAGGAGAAGGTGTCGCTAAACAGGACATCCACGTGGGTGAGCAGGAATTCCACCACCACAGACTGCACCCGAACCTCCCTGAAGGCGGCTGCCCCACCCAGCCCCACTGACTCCAGTTCCATGGACCTGGATGGGAGGAGGGAGAGGGAGGCCCGGTGCTTTAAGCCCTAGCTGGTGGGTTTTAGCAACACAAAATGGGGAGCCAATGGAAGAAATGACTGTCATCCAACACCTGACCTTCCCCCAAGCGATCACATCTAGAATTGGGTTATCAACCTTTCCCCAAACCTCCTTCCCTGCTGCTTTCAGCAGCTCAG